TCCCAACCCCCCCAAACCCCACCACCACCCCCCATCCCTGACGTGTCCCCAAGGTGCCACCACGGAGCCATTTCCAGCCCAAACCCGACCCCTCCCCCCCAAACTTTTGGGGTGCCTCAGGGATTTTTGGGGTCTCACCGAGTCCACGAGCAGCTTGGAGCAGAAGAAGCAGACGCAGCGCAGGATTTTCATGGTTTTGCCCAAAAATCCCACGTGGAACACGGGCTTGGCCAGCTCGATGTGGCCAAAGTGGCCCGGACACTCCGTCATGTTCCCTGGGGACACCCCAAAATCGGATTGGGGACACCCCAAAATGGGATTTGGGGGTTGGGATAGAGGGGAACCCCCCAAGAATGGGGTTTTGGGGTGGGAGGGGAACAACCCTAAAAAAGCCCTAAAAAAGGAGAGCACGCCAAAAAATGGGAAATCAAAAAAAAAAAAAAAAAGGGAAAACCCAAAAAAAGGGGGCCCCCACCCCAACCACCACCCCCCATCCCTGACGTGTCCCCAAGGTGCCACCACGGAGCCATTTCCAGCCCAAACCCGACCCCTCCCCCCCAAACTTTTGGGGTGCCTCAGGGATTTTTGGGGTCTCACCGAGTCCACGAGCAGCTTGGAGCAGAAGAAGCAGACGCAGCGCAGGATTTTCATGGTTTTGCCCAAAAATCCCACGTGGAACACGGGCTTGGCCAGCTCGATGTGGCCAAAGTGGCCCGGACACTCCGTCATGTTCCCTGGGGACACCCCAAAATCGGATTGGGGACACCCCAAAATCGGACTGGGGACACCCCAAAATCGGATTGGGGGGTTGGGATAGAGGGGAACCCCCCCAGAATGGGGTTTTGGGATGGGAGGGGAACAACCCTAAAAAAGCCTTAAAAAGGAGAGCACGCCAAAAAACGGGAAATCAAAAAAAAAAAAAAGGAAAACCCCAAAAAAAGGGGACACCATCCCCAAAAAAACCAAGGAAACGCCCAAAATTATTGAAGTGTCTCTCAAGAAATCCCAAAAAAATTTGGGGAGGGGGGAATGAGGGGAGCTCCCCAAAAAGGGAACCCCACAAAAAAAAGGACACCCCAAAACCCAGAAATCCTCCTGAGAAAAAGGAGAATTTTAGGGGGTTCAGGGCCTTCTCCCTGTGAAGATTTGGGGGATCAGGGCCCTTCATGTGAAGATTTGGGGGTTCAGGACCCTCTTTGTGAGACACCTTTGAGGCTCAGGAGGTCCCTGTGAAGATTTGGGGCTTTGGGCTCCTCCCATGTGAACTTTTGGGGTTCAGGGTCCCCTCCCAGGAGGATTTTGGGGTTGAGGGTCCCCTCCCAGGAGGATTTGGGGGTTCAGGACCCCCCTGACTCACCAGCACAGGTCTGGCAGCGCCCCGTCCTCTCGATGACACCCTGCCGGGGGTCCATGAGCCCCCCCAGTTTGGGGCGTCCCCCCTCGGTGGTTTCGGGGTACTTGATGCCCCCCTCAGTCACCGACATCCGTTTCTGGGGGGGAAAAGGGAAACTGAGGCACATGGAGACCCCCAAATGCATCCATGTGCTCCCCACAAAAACCCTAAATGGGTGGGGGTACCCCAAGTGACCCCCTCGGGTGACAACAAACACTTCAATCACCCCAAAATCTGAACTATCTGAACAACTTCCAGGGACCCCAAAATCCCACCTGGGCTCCCTGAGCAGCTCCCAGGGGCCCCAAAACCCCTCCAGGGCCCCCTGAGCCACTCCCAGGGACCCCCAAACCTCCTCCAGGACACTCCAAAGCTCTTCCAGAATTCCCCTAAAAACCTCCAGGCGCCCCAAGTCTCCTTCACAGCAGCCTGAAGCTCTTCCAAGGCCCCCACAACCACCTCCAGAGACCCAAAGCCCCTCCAGGACACCCTAAAACGCCTCCAAGGCACCCCAATACTTTTCCCGAGGCCTCCTGGGCACCCCCAGGGACCCCAAAACTCATCCCGAGGCTCCCTGAGCCACTCCTAGGGACGCCAAAACGCTGCCAGGGGATTCTGAGCCACTCTCGGACACTCCAAAGCTCCTCCAGAGCCTTCCTGGGCACCCCAACACCTTCCAGAACCTCCTTTGTGTCCCCGAGCCCCCTGAGGACCCCCCAAATCCCCCTCTGGGCTCTCCCCTCTCTCCCGCTCAGCCCCCCGGGCCTGTGGGGGGCGCTGTCCCCTCACGGGGCCGCTCCGCTCCGCGCTCTCGCTGCCCCGGCGCCATTTCCCGCCGCCGCTCGCCCTCAGCCGCCGGCCCCGCTCCCGCCGCGGGCCCCGCGGTTCCGTCCGCGCCGCCCCGGCCTCGGTACCATCTCATCGGGGCTGAGGATCCCGAACTGGACTCGTTTGATGGTGCGCAGCGGGCAGGCGCTGTCGCCCGAGGGCGGACCGCCGTGCATGGCGCCGGTGGGGCCGCGGCCTCGCGCCGCTCCGACTGCTCGGAACCGACCCCTTCACGGAGGGGTTGAGGGAGCGGGGAGCTTTAACCCCTCCGGGGAACCGGCACCTCACGGAGCCCTCGGCACGGAGCTTCCCCTTTTCCACTCCGGCCGCTCCGCGCTCAAGGCGCGACTGAGCGCTGTGAGGCACCGGCGCCGCCTTATATAGACTCGGCCCCCGCGCGCCGCCCGAGGGGGCATGGCCGGAGCGTACCAAACGCCTCAGAGGAAAAAGGGGGGAGACGCGGGAAAGAAGCGGCGGGAAGGAAAGGGAGATGGGGTCCGTGAGGCGAGCGAGGAGCGGGGAAGGGGCAGGGAGTCGGCGGCTGCTCCGTGAAGCCCTCAAGGGACGCGCCGGCGTCGGACTCCCAACTTCCAGCACGGTGGGATCGGCTCATGAATAATTTATTTTAAGAGCGCCGCCCCCACCGAGCCCGAGAGCCGAGCGATCGCGGGGCGGAGGGAGGTTGACGAAGTGACCTCAGAAGCTGGCGGAGATTCCCGAAGTACTGCCGGAAGTGGGCGGAGATCGCCGAAGGGCTTTCGGAGAGTAACGGAAATGATCGAAGTTAACCGGCGGTGCCCGAACGTTGACGGAAAGAGCCGGAATTTGACGAAGCGTTGGCGGAAGTTATCGAAATATGCCGAAGCATGAGCGGAAGATACCGGAAATTACCGAATATCCGACGAAAGATACCGAAGCAAAGGCGGACGGTGCCGGAAATGGGCGAAGCAGCGCTCCAGCCGCGGCCTGCGCAGCCCCGGCCTCGCCCGCCCGGCCCGGCCGCTCCCGGCGCTCCCGACCCGGCTGGAGCGGCTGGGAAAGGCCGAGGCTTTGGGGCCTGTTCCGGAGGGGTGCTGGGGAAGGGGCCGGGCGAGGCGCAGTGGACTTGAAGGAGTATTTTAGGAGCGGCAAAAGGAATTTGAGGGGGTAGTAGGGGTTGGGGGTGCAATTATTAAGGGCTTGAAGGTTGTTGGCGGAGCAGGAGGGATGTGGGGTTATAATTGGGGTAGAAAATGGGAATTTAGAGAGGCAGGAGCGTTTGGGGGGCAATTGCAGACAAGGAGGGGGGTTTAGGGCGGGTTGGGGTGTTTTGGGGCAGCAGTCGGGTTTGTGGGGGAGAATTGGAGCAGTGAAAGAATGTTTGAGGAGAGTTTTGGAGGGGCAGGAAGGAATAGGGGCCATAAATGGAGGAAAAACAGGAGAATTTTGGTGTTTGGAGGGCAGGGAGGGGCGTCCAGGAGGAGCAGGAGGTTTTGGGGACAATTACGGCAAGAAAGGGGAATTTGGGCAGAGAACGGCAGAGAGGGGATTGGGGGAAGGAAAACGGTGTTTGTGGGGGGGATTTGGGGGCAGAGAAGGAGAAATTTGGGGGTTTTGGGGGCGTGACACAATGTGACAGCCCCAAACGGCACAGTTCTGACATAAAATGTGGCAGTCTGAGGCACAACCCAAAGGTACAACCTGACACAGCCCCTCCCAGCACAGCCGGACACACAATGTGACAAATGTTACACAAAATGTGACACAAAATGTGATAAATGTGACACAGTCTGAGGTACAACCCAAAAGTACAACCTGACACAGCCCCACGCAACAGTCAGACACAAAATGTGACACAAAATGTGACAAATGTGACACAAAGTGTGACAAATGTGTGGCTGCGAGCGCGTCACACCCGCGCGCGGCTGTGCGTCAGTTCGAGGGCTGCCTGGGGGTTGTTTCTCCACCTGCAGCCGTCCCTCTGCGGGTGAAACATCCGCGCGGGGGTGCTCGGAGTGCGGTTGTACACCCGTGTTCGGTTGTGCGTCACACCCACGCACGGCTGTGCAGCCGCGTCTGGCTGTGCCGCGTGTCCCTGTGCGGTTGTACACCCGTGTTCGGTTGTGCGTCACACCCACGCACGGTTGTGCAGCCGCGTCTGGCTGTGCCGCGTGTCCCTCTGCGGTTGTACACCCGTGTTCGGTTGTGCCTTGTGTCCGTGTGTGTCTGGGCGCGGTTGTTGGGGCTTGTGGGGCCGCGTGTGTTGTGTCTGTGAGCGGGTGTTGTGTCCGACACGTGTCGCGTGTGCTGTGCGTGTGCGACGGGTGCTGTGGCTGTTGTGTGGGTGTGTCACCTGTGCGTGTGTGCAGGTGTGTGCGTGTCACACCTGTGCGTGTCCAGGCGTGTGTACAGGTGTGTGTGTGTGTGTGTACAGGTGTTTTTGTGCATGTTACACCTGTGCATGTATGTACAGGTGTGTTTCTGTGTGTGTCTCACCTGTGCGTGTGTGTGTGTGTCCCACCTGTGTTTCCGTGTGTCACACCTGTGTTTCTGTGTGTCCAGGTGTGTTTCCGTGTGTCCAGGTGTGTTCCCGTGTGTCCCACCTGTGTTTCCGTGTGTCCAGGTGTGTTTCCGTGTGTCCCACCTGTGTTTCCGTGTGTCCAGGTCTGTTTCCGTGTGTCCCACCTGTGTTTCCATTTGTCCAGGTGTGTTTCCTTGTGTCCAGGTGTGTTTCCGTGTGTCCAGGTTGTGTTTCTGTGTGTCCAGGTGTGTTCCTCTGTGTGTCCAGGTGTGTTCCTCTGTGTGTCCAGGTGTGTTTCCGTGTGTCCCACCTGTGTTTCCGTGTGTCCAGGTGTGTTTCCATGTGTCCAGGTGTGTTTCCGTGTGTCCAGGTGTGTTCCTCTGTGTCCCACCTGTGTTTCTGTGCATGTCCAGGTGTGTTCCTCTGTGTGTCCCACCTGTGTTCCTCTGTGTCCCACCCGTGCGTGTCCCCTCGCCCCCCGGGTGTCCCCTCCCGCCCGTGCCGCGCTGACACTTCCGCGTCCCCTTAACCCCGCCCCCTTTAGCCACACCCCCTCTGACCCCGCCCCTTTCTGGCCCCGCCCCCGCAGCCTCCGCCTGCTCCTCCAACACGTGACCACGAGCAGCGCGGCGGCGGCGCCGAGGGCGGCCAAGAAGGCGCTGCTGCTGCGGCACCGCGCGCTGGAGCCGGGCGCGGAGCAGGAGCCGCTGGTCAAGGTGGTGGACGGGCAGGTGCTGTACCTGTGCGGCGTGTGCCAGCGCTCCTACATGACGCTGTCCAGCCTGAAGCGCCACGCCAACGTCCACTCGTGGCGCCGCAAGTACCCGTGCCGCTACTGCGACAAGGTGTTCGCGCTGGCCGAGTACCGCACCAAGCACGAGGTGTGGCACACGGGCGAGCGCCGCTACCAGTGCATCTTCTGCTGGGACACCTTCGTCACCTACTACAACCTCAAGACGCACCAAAAAGCCTTCCACGGCATCAGCCCGGGGCTCATCGCCTCCGAGAAGACGCCCAACGGCGGCTACCGGCCCAAGCTCAACGCGCTCAAGCTCTACCGCCTGCTGCCCATGCGCGCCAACAAGCGCCCCTACAAGACCTACAGCCAGGGCGCCGTGCCCGACGGCGCCGCGCCGGCGCCCGCG